TCCTTTCTTGATATTTGTAACATCTGTACAAATGATAATGATATGATGTTCTTCTTGTGTAAATGCCTGATGCAAAAAAAGAAAAAAAAAAAAAAAAAGCCTGCCACAAAATACCTTCTGACCACTTGGTAAATCTTGTTAGGAGTAGGATAACTGCTTGTCTAGAGTATGGACTGTGCATCTTTTGAAGAATAACTTCCCAGTTCCTCAGAAGCCGATGGTTGTTTCTCTTGTCTTGTAGGCGTACACCCCCATCACCTAACAACTGGAATTGAAATTACACATTTGTTGTTTTGCTGGGCTTTTGTTGTTTAATTATTTTCTGTTCACTGAGATGTGGGTTATACTACCAGCCTTTGTAACCAATGGACAGTTATTGACTTACTCTCTGGCTGTAGTTAACTAGCTTGTTTCTAGATAATAAAATAACTTAGTTGTCATCGTTCTCCAAGAAGACCTATGCTATATAATATGAAAACAGTATTGAAAATGTTAGTGTAATTTCTTACTTTTGAACATCAATTAGACGTTATGACCTACATAACAAGTGCATTTTATTTACTTCATATTTTTAGTATATTCTTCCAAATTGTGTAATTCACTAGACTTAAGACTTTTGTATTATGGTATTTTGCAGTAGAGTTCAAAAGACATTTGTTTTTACACACACGCTTTGTAATATTTTTCTTTTAAAAAATTAAATGATAATATTTCTTTTAGGACATATCTTCATTTTTGTTAATTAAAAGATAGGAGGGTAGAAAATATTAACAAAGAGTTCCAAGTAACACATTAGAACACTAAATATCTTTCTTGAATATCAAGGAATTCTTAGAAAAAATAAATACAACAAAACTAAACCACCTAGTAATTGTTCTCTTCATCAAATATAGTTCTTAAAGAAACCAGGTCAAACCCTCTGAGAATGTCAGAGTAATACTCTCCTCTCCTACCACAGTAAACCTTAAATAAATTCATAACACACCTTACAAGGATAGTAAGCAATCAGTCAACATGTACGAATGTATGCATGTAATAGAATTCTAATTGGCCTCTTTATCTTTCTGGTTTTGCCTTTTTCTTTTACTCTCTTAAGTTTTTTGTTTGTTTTCTTAAATGATCATTATAACAACTGTGATCAGTAGTCTATGACATATTTTACTTTTATAATGCCCTTGAACTTATGTCATTAAATAATATATGCTTTTATTTTTTTAAAATTTTTAATGTTTTATTTATTTCTGAGAGAGAGAGAGTGAGAGACAGCGTGAGCAGGGGAAGTTCAGAGAGAGAGGGAGACACAGAATCTGAAACAGGCTCCAGGCTCTGAGCTAGCTGTCACCACAGAGCCCAACACAGAGCTCAAACCCACGAACCGTGAGATCCTGACCTGAGCTGAAGCCAGACGCTTAACCAACTAAACCACCCAAGTGCTCCTATAATATACACTTTTAAAAATAATATAAGTAATTTAAAATAATAATAATAGACAATGTTTATATAAATAAAATTTAATAAAATGCAACTGTATGTATTGTGGTGACAACTTCTTTATTTTTGAAAATAGCTTTTTTTCCTTTTCTTTTGTATTTAATTTTGACTTTTATCAAATACATAACACGCACACAGTTAAAAAAAATCAAGTGAAACAAAAATAACATTCTTCTGCCTTGTATCTTCCTACCACCCAGGCCAGCTATATAGAGATTATAAGTTTCTGGTATTTATATCTACAATTTTTATACATCCAAAATTGTAAATGATATGCTTGTTGCTATTTCTTGATTTATTAATTTTTAAAATTAATTTTGAATAATAAACATGGAGAAACTAGTGGGAGAGAAATGCATGCAAATAAAAAAGTGAATACAGTTTGGAGCACCTGGGTGGTTTAGTTGGTTAAGCATCTGACTCCGACTCAGGTCATGATCTCACTTTGTGATTTCGAGCCCCGTATTGGGCTCTGTGCTGACAGCTCAGAGCCTGGAGCCTGCTTTGGATTCTGTGTCTCCTTCTATCCGTGCTCCTCCCCCACTTGCACTAGGATTCTCTCTCTCTCTCTCAAAAATAAATAAACATTAAACAAATTTAAGTGAATAAAATCTAAGCTAACATATGCTATAGTTGATGTCTGAATAGAGTGTTTTGGGTCCATAAAGAATAGGTAGGCATTTTAGGTCTCCTGCTCTGGGAAACAGTGTGGAACTTCCTCAAAAAATTAACAGTAGAACGAACACCCCTATGACCCAGCAATAGCACTGGTAGGAATTTACCCAAGGATACAGAAGTACTGATGCATAGGGGCACATGTACCCCGATGTTCATAGCAGCACTTTCAACAATAGCCAAATCATGGAAAGAGCCTAAATATACATCAACTGAAGAATGGATCAAGAAGATGTGGTTTATATATATAATGGAATACTACACGGCAATGAGAAAAAATGTAATCTGGCCATTTGTAGCAACGTGGATGGAACTGGAGGGCCTTATGTTAAGGAAATAAGTCAGGCAGAAAAAGACAGATACCATATGTTTTCACTTATATGTGGAACAGGAGAAACTTAACAGAGAATCATGGGGAGGGGAAGGGGAAAAATAGTTAAGGAGAGGGAGGCAAACCACAAGAGACTCTTAAATACTGAGAACAAACTGAGGGTTGATGGGGGTGGGGGAGAGGCGAAAATGGGTGATGGGCATGGAGGAGGGCACTTGTTGGGATGAGCACTGGGTGTTATATGGAAACCAACTTGACAATAAACTATTTTAGAAAAAAAGAATAACTATTGTTTATGCTGCCATTACCAGTAAACGAAACAATGCTCATCTTTCTGTCACCTATTCTTGCCAACACAGTATAGAATCCAGCATTCAAACATATACTATTCTGATGGCAGAATGTGGTAGTTCATTGTTTTTTTAATTTGTCTCTTCCTAATACCTAGTGATTTTGACCATTTCGAACTATACTTGACAGTTTTTCTGGCTTTCCTTTTTGAGAAGCTGCCTTTTGAGGGTTTTTGCTCATTTTTTATTGGTTTTCTCTGAGTATGTATTTTAATATTAATTCCTTGTTGGTTTTAGGTCTTCTCTCAGTTTATTTATAAAATTTATCTATGGTATCCTTCACTGAAAAAATTCTCATTTGGTTTGACCAAATCCATCAGTTTTATGCCTTATTATTTTAAGCCTTTTTTTTTTTTCAGAATTAGGTTTTAATTCTAGGTGTCAGAAAGAATTACCTACATTTTTCTATTAGCTTTGAAAGGATAACTTTCACATTTAAAGCTGTTTAGTCTCATTGGAATCCAAATTTGTATATGGTATAAAATAAGAAGATAAGTTTATTTTTTTCCATATTCTGAGACTGTTTTTCTTTCTCTATATAATGAGACAACACCAACCTTTTCTTTTACTTTGTGATAGTACCCTTATTATATATATAAGACTTCCACTGACATGTGGGTTTATTTCCGAACTCCATTTTCCAGTGTCTGCACCTGGCATTGGTAGTAAGCCTAATATTTGGTAGAATAGATTCCTTCTCTCTGTCCTTTATTTTTGATGTTAATTTTTTTATTAATAGACATCTATAGTATATGCTTTTAAAACAAGTTTGTTGATTTCTTTAAAAATCTGAAATTACAGATTAATTTAGGGAAAATTAATATCCATGAATTCGAGGAGAAAGTAAATCAATATGGAATTAGGAAATAATTTAGATTGCTACATATTAAAAGAAATCTGCTTGTTTTAGTGACATATAGCAGGCAAAAAATAATTATGAAAGAAAATTAACACAAAGAAAGTCAAGAATGGAGCCTGCTCTTGTGCAAAATTTATCATTAAGAGAAAAATGAACAACAGAAGGAATAGAGAAAGACTACTAGAATGTGAAGAATGGGCATTTGAATTACCTTAATTTTTGTGACTTTGAGTTACCTTGATAAATAAAATTATGGTTTCAAACTATGCTTTGCAGAATACCTAAGACTTTGTGGAATGCCCCCGACGTACCTAGAGAAAGAACAATGGTGATGTGGTAGTGAATATTGAGAGTCTGGTTCAACCAGAATGCTTCGTTGTTACCTGAATAATAAGTTGACCCCTCACTAAGATTTCATTGGAAAAAAGGACTTGTAGCCAAAAGTGTTTGGGAACAATTTAAATAGAATTAGTGAAATGTCTAAATGCTCAACAAAGATGGTATATGATGTCATCCATCCCTTTAAATGCCTCTGGAAAGCATTGCTAAGTGAACACAGGACTCTCTACTAGACTCAGATTTAATCTCCATACAGATTTCCATGTGGTCACTACCAATCAGTCAGAGTTGGTGTGTGAATCAAAACCCATTTGTTACCTATATATGACTAACTTCTGTAATTTTGTTGGACCTTAAAAACACTTTTGAAAGATTTGAGCTAAAACTTTCAGATTAAAGAAGGAAGAGGCTAGAAAAGAGAGTGGTTAAATAGGAACTGGGTCTAGGATACATACTCACATTAAGTATTAAGGTAATAGCCCTTGTTTGCAATTATGAGAAAATGCTTATTACCAATTTGTTAATTGTGGAAAGGCCTTCAAAGCTCATTATGTATGTGTTGAAGATGCAGTTGAAATCAGTCATGTTTTCAGTTGGGAATCTTGACCCATAAAATAACTGTATTCTATAAATTATAAAATTTAATCACCAAAAGTTTAAACCTGTCAAATCAATGTAAGAGTGGGAAATAAAATCTGCATCTCATGGAAATGAATCTCATGCTGTCTCCGTGGTCCTTGCTTGGACCAAATAATGGCTTTTAAACTTCTCTAAATTAAAATGTAAAAAAGCATTTCCATGCATATTTGAAGAGTTCCAAAGCAATTAATGCATTAACTATTAACTTTATTTGAGGTTGAGTATGTTTTATGTTCTCTGAAGTCATTGAACTAATTGTGACATAAATTTAAAATTAATTTTTGAAGCAGTGACCATTATTTGTCTCTGTTAACAGGGCTATTCTAATGTGATGCTGGGATTGAGTTCACCTAGTTCACTCCGTATCAAGGTTGACTCAGAAGTCCTGTAGAAGATCTGAAAGAAATAAGTAAGTGACTGTTTAGTAATGATTCTCTTTGGTTCATTGTGCTTATGTCTGCTTTTCTAGTATTTATTTTATTCTTTAATTTTTTGGTTAGGTATCTTTATCCAAAAGTTAAGAAAGTGATCAGTAAACCACAGAGACTTGTCAAGTAGGACTAAAGGAATATTCATCCTCTTGCCCATCCCATTTCAGTCTTTGCTGTGCTTTCTCTTCCTATTAAGTTGGTTTCACTTTTTAAAAAAATTATCATGGATTTATGTGGAACATGAATTTGGTTCTGAAATATTGAAAGGATTAGTCAAGAAAAGCACCTGGATTATTTTCAGTTATGATTATGTGGTCTTTTATATAATGATATTTTCAGTATTTATTAAGATTGAGTTGATATTGAGGTTTTTGGGAGATGTAGGAGTGCCAAAAAATAAAGAGAATAACATACTAGTAATGATTTCTTTTTTAAGCTTTGATTTTCTTATAAACGTTTTGAGATCCAGCAAGTCAGCTGTTTAGAAAGCATTTGTTTCCTTTTTAGTGTTACATTTCTTTAAATCTAATAGGAATTTTCCTTGATATTTATAGTGTCAATTTAGAGAATTTTAATACCATTGTTTGGTACAAAGCAAGGGTCACAGACATGGCATGGGATGCATTTCCAAAAGATGTAGATTGATTTCCCACTCTTACTCAATATATCATGGTTCTGCAACATTATTTTTTTCAGTGTCACCACTGAACTGTGATATCATTCAATTAAGATTCAGCCACCTATTGGTGTAAAAATATAATTATAAAAAGAAAATTAAAAGAAACTTTAGGTGAAGAGTTTATATCATTTCTCATCTAGACTCCGCACCCCCCTGCCAAGTAGAAGGGAACCATGGTGTCTGATTGCTCCTGAATTCTTTTTTCTTTCTTTCCCCACTCCAGAATTCTTTATTAAAGGGTTCACTGAAAGTATATGTATGACAAGCCTCAGGACCCTCACTGTTCTGCTTATGTTGTTTTATCCCTTTCTAAAACTTTTTCCAGATGAAGGCTCCATATCTTCCATAAGAGATATTTTTTCAGTCTGCTTGACTTTTATAGTCAAATAGTTTTCGGGCAGTTTACCTACTATTTTGCCTATGGACCCCTTGTTTTCTACCAAATTTATTTTGCCAGATATACAAACAAAATGATTCCACACTTATTTATTATTTAAGATTTTGAAGCACTTTGACAACTTTTCACTTCATTTTACTCCTTCACTAAACTCATTAGTTTTACTCTTGCATTGCTTATGACCTAAGGATGATATTATTATCCTTGTTTATTAGTATGTGGAGAAACTAAAATGTGAGTGATTTGGTAAAGGTGATATACTTTGTTGTGATTTTACAGCTAATAATAAACAATTAGGTATTACTAGAAAAGTATCTGCTAAGGCCTAATATTTTCTCTCTGGGTTATATAATTTATGGCTACTGTAGACAATGGTGATGTTGATATAATACTTAAATTCTCATTTTTGAGTAAAGGGACATTTGTTTTAATAATACTAGGGGGATTTAAGATTTATAAGTGGGACAGTGAACATCATGGAACCATGAAAGAAATGATTTTTGAAAAACAGAGTCTTTTTCCCAGAAGGGAAGCATAATTGTGTTTGAAGTTAGTTCTGAAAATCTGCTTCTGGAACTTGCTAATTAGACTTTTCCTGGTCATAGGCATATAGTAGTTTTTATATTTTTAACTGAAGACCAACCACATATTGGTGGAAATAATGCATATGCAAAAGGCAGTGATTCTTCTTAATGAAAAAATATCCGAAACAGTGTTTTTCCTTGGGAATACGTAGAATTTATGGATCCTAGAGCTGGAGGTACCATGATAAGACAAGAGGGGGATGACCGAGAGGCAAGGGTTTGGGATTCAGGTAGATAAGGCTTTGGATCCGTGCAGCCATTTGATAGCATTTTTAATCAACCTTGGTTAACTTCCTTAAATCTTTGCACATTAGTTTTCAAACCATAAAAGCAGGGACAGATAAAACTATTTGTTAGATTATTGTAAAAATTTAGCACTTAATTTATAGCTATTTTCAAGACATATTCATTTTTTTTTTCAGTTTCTACTACTGTGTTCCAACCCCTCCCCAAATCCCAAAAGTGAATACTTAGTTGAGTCTTCCCATTTTTAAGCAGTTTGTTTCAGCATTATCCCCATTTTGTCTCTCAGAGAGGTTAAATAACTTGCCCTAGTCTATACTTCTAAAGTGGGAACTAATATGTTGTTTCATGCAACTTGCAGCTGAGACTGTATGTAAGTCACTGGGTGGTTGAGTGAATGTGTATGTATGTGTGTGTTTTACTCCATCATAGTGACAATTATTTTCTGAGTTTCTGTTGTAGGAGTATTAAATCCAATTAAAATATAGAATTTAAATATTTCAGTGTACTAGAAATAAACTTTATTCTCAATCTTAGAGAAATTAATGTAAGTTTCACAAATACTTGTTAAAAAGCAAGCATCATACATGACAAAACATTTGCTCAAATTTTCAAGTCATTGAGAAGAAAATTGAGTCTACAGGAAGCTGATTTGGCTGAGGAGGGTCTGGGTGAGTGATTCATGTTCATGGCACACTGACATCCATTAACAAAAAGTAGCAGGAACAAAACTGCAGAGAGAGAGGCTACAGAGTGGAGCTGTTGAGAATGCAAGCTTGCAAATCAGATCGCTTAGATCTGAATTATGGGTCCATGGCAAATTTACTGTCTGTGGAAACTTGGACAAACCATTTAAACTCTCTAATCCTTAATTTCTGAATTGAGAAAAAGAAGATAACAGTTCTTCACTTCATAGAGTAGATTTGAGGACTACATTTGTGAATTCATACAAAGGACATTGTAAGCATTAAAAGAAATTAGTTGTTTTGTTTCCTATTGTATTAGTTTCACCAGTTGACTGTAGTTTCAGGCTATTTAGCAAATATGCTGCGTAACTTTGGGCAAGGAGATGGTAAAAATGGGTTACTTTTGTAAATGTGCTCTCTGTGTTTTGGTTAGCATGTGTATTAGTTTTCTATTGCTATGTAACATATTACATGTTTAAAAGCTTAAAACAGACTTTTATTAAATCAGTTTCTACAGATTAGGAGTCCAGGCATAGCTCAGCTCAGGGTATTGTCAGGCTGCATTTGAAATACTGGCCAGGCTGCATTTTCATCTGGAGACTGTGGTTGTTTTCCAAACTCACTGGTTTGGGCCAAATCCTACATCAGGATTGTAGGACTGAGATGGTCAAGAGGCCGTCCGTGGTTCCCATGCATGTGACCCTCTCCATATACAGTCCACACTATAGTAGCTTGCTTTTTGAAAGCAGTAGGAGAGCCTCTACTATATGAGAGCAAGATAAAGCCATACATACATATAAGTATGTGAATTTGAGTATGTGTATATGTATTAGTATAATCATTGATGTGCCATCCCATTGAAGCAAGTCATAGTCCTACTCACATGTAAGAGGATAGAATTACAGAGTATGAACTTGGGGGCCACCCTAGGATCCGTCTGCCAAAGCATGTTAAACTTATCTTAAAATTCAAATAACCCATGATTTTAGATGTTTTCCAGTTTATTTATTTCTGAGAGGGAGTAGAACATGAATGGGGGAGGGGCAGTGAGAGGGAGACAGAATCCGAAGCAGGCTCCAGGCTCTGAGCTGTCAGCACAGAGCTCCACACGGCGCTCATACTCACGAACCGCGAGATGATCTGAGCTGTAGTCGGATGCTTAACTGATTGAGCCACCCAGGCGCCCCAATTTTAGATTTTTACAATTATGTACTATTTAATAAAAAGGAATATTGTTCTTATTGTAAACTTACATTCTCAGTTATGCTTAATAGTGTGACTCCCAACAGATCATTCCTCCCGGTTAACTAAGATTTATTATTATTTCATGCCAGCTAACCTCAGGCTAAATGCAGCCTACCCTGGTGTTTAATACTCTTCAGAATCTGACAAAGCCCAAATACTAACCTTTTCTCCCCATTACACCTATATGCCTACCTTGAATCCCATGCCTTTCACTTTCCCTCATTTCTGTCAATTTACAACCTATTGTTTCTTTGACTTTCTCCATCTCTTTAAAGCACATTTACATCTCTATCTCTTCCATTTTACTTTTTTTGTTTCTTCCCTCCTGTTCAGCCAGCCTACGACTTTTCATGTATAGTATCATATCTGTCTTATCTGCAGCCTTGCCTATAATAGTATCCTAAGAAGTGTTTACTAAATATATGTACCTTCTTCATTTAAAACCGTGGTCAGTTTGGCCATGTGTAGCAACATGGATGGACCTTGAGGGTGTTATGCTGAGCGAAATAAGTCAGGCAGAGAAGGACAAATATCATATGTTTGCACGTATAGGAGGATTAGGAGGAACTTGACGGAGGACCAAGGGGGAGAAGAAGGGCGGAAATGGTGGGGGAAAGGGAGAGAGGCAAACCATGAGAGACTCTTGAATTCTGACAAAAACTGAGGACTGATGGATGTGGGGGGGGAGGGGGGGATGGGCATGGAGGAGGACACTTGTGGGGATGAGCACTGAGTGTTATGTGGAAACTAATTTGACAATAAACTATTTGTAAAAAAAAAAAAATAAAAATAAAACCGTGGTCAGTTTGATAGCCTTTTCACTTTGAAAATTATATTTGAAAAGGCATTCTTCATAAATTATCCACTTTTACACTGACTCAGTAATCTGAAGTGTATCTCAAACAACCTTTATATTGCCTTTAAGAATCCATTGCAGCATACACATTTGGAATTGATTGCACAGAGGAGAACATGAATGATTGGGGTACAGGAGGTGGGCTGTGGTAAGCAGCCTTGAAGATGTTCCTTAATGATCCTGTCTCCTAGTTTTCACACACTCTTATTTTTCCTCCCATGTTTACCAAAGTTGGTCCATGTGGCTGATAGAATATGGCATAGTGATGGTATATTGCCTTTCAGATTA